CAGATAAGTTTAGACATCTGAAGAATTTATTTTTAAATTACAATATTTACTCGATTCTAAGATGAGGTCTCCCCCCCCACCATTTAACATGGAGGGAGCTCCTAGTCTTAGAATCAAGTATGAGGGCAATAGGGGAGGGCAGGCGGCTGGAGCCACAGTTGCAGCTGCTGCCTGCCTCTCCCCATCCATCCTCCCACTGATTCTGCACCCTGCAGAAACAGTGGAGAGTGGGGGGCAGAGGGGGCAGGGGGCAGGCATAAGCAGGAGACAACCTGCTTGACCTCCCCATGCCACCTGCCCCCCTGCAGCGGTGCGGGGGTATGGACTGAAGACAACCCTCCAATCATTAGAGTCTGTTCATGGAAAACGTTAACAAATTGAGGCAGACAAGGCTCCTTGGGTGAATTTGATATCTTTTATTAGACCAACCCAAATAGTTGGGGAATAGTTATTAAGCAAGCTTTCGAGTTCAAAAACCCTTCGTCGGGCTCAGGAAGCTGCAGCAGTTGGTGTGTGCTCTTCCTGGATGGGGTGAAAAGTAAAGAAGCCAGGGGCTGGGCTGGGGAGTCAGTTGCCAGGCAGATTATAATGTATGAAAAATCCAATGTCTATGTTTAGTCCCTGATCTCTAGTATCCAGCAGGTTGATGAAGTGGAGCTCATAGGCTCGTCTCTGGGAAGTGCTGTGTAAGTTTCCCTTGAGGATCAGGACTGAGAGATTGGAGAGAGAGTGGCCCTCCTGTGAGAAATGTGCCCCCACCGGTAATTGGGTGTTTCTGTCTTTGATGGATTTCCGGTGTGCATTCATTCTGGTGCGCAGTTGTTGTCTGGTCTCTCCTACATATCTTCCATCAGGGCACTTGGTGCATTGGATGAGGTATACTACATTCCTGGAGGTGCAGCTGTAAGATCCTGGGATGCTGATGGCTCTGTTGTGGGGTGTAGTAATAGTGGGGGTGGTGGAGATGTGGGGGCAGGTTTTGCATTTCTTGTCATGGCACGGTCTGGATCCTTTTGGTGTGTTCTGGGCTTGAGGAAGTTTGCTTCTGGTGATGAGGTTGGCGAGGTTCGGTGCTTGTCTGAAGGCTAGGATGGGTGGCTCTGGGAAGATCTTTTTAAGAATAGGGTCTTTTTCTAATATGGGTTGCAATTTTTTGAGGATTTTCCGTACAGGTTCAAGGGATGGGTGATAGGTCATAACCAGCGGTGTGCGATTTGTGGGTGTTTTTCTTCTGTACTGCAGCAGTTCTTCACGTGGTATCCAGGTGGCTCTTTCAAACGTGCGATCTACCTCTCTGGAGGAGTGTCCTTGCTGGGTGAAAGCCTTTTTAAGATTGGTGAGGTGGCAATCCCGGGTGTTCTCTTCAGTACAGATGCGGTGGTATCTGAGGGCTTGGCTGTATATCACTGCTTTTTTGGTGTGTTTCGGGTGATTGCTGGTTCTGTGCAGATATGTATGTTGGTCTGTGGGTTTCTTGTATACTGTGGTCTGTATTTTACCCTTCTGGATACTGATCCTTGTGTCTAAAAAGGGGATGTTGGTGTTGGAGTATTCTAAAGAAAGTCGGATGGAGGGATGGTGACTGTTGAATTTCTGGTGGAACTCAAGTAGAGATTCCAGGTTCTCACTCCAAATGATGAAGATGTCATCGATATATCGTAAGTACAGCAAGGGTTTGATGGTGCAGTTCTTGAGGAAGTCTTCTTCCAGGTGGCTCATAAAAAGGTTGGCATACTGTGGGGCCATTTTAGTGCCCATAGCTGTTCCCATCATCTGGAGGAAGTGTTGATTATTAAAAGTGAAATTGTTGTGTGTGAGGATGAAGTGTATAAGCTCAGTGATATCTTTGGGTCTGTATTCTGGGTTGTAATCTTGTTCCTGTAGATATGTAAGGCAGGCATGGATGCCATCCTGGTGTGGGATGTTGGTGTATAGGCTGGTAACGTCCATGGTGGCTAGGAGTGTGTTCCTGGGAAGGTGGTCTATGTTTTTAAGTTTCCGTAGCAAGTCTGTGGTGTCTTGGACAAAACTTGCTCTGTGGGTGACAAGCGGTTTTAGGATGGATTCAACAAAACCTGATATTTCCTCAGTTAGGGTCCCATGGTTGGATATGATAGGTCTGCCAGGGTTCCCTTGTTTGTGGATTTTAGGGAGCATGTAAAAAGTCCCTGGGTTAGGTAGCGGGGGGATCAAGGTCTGTAGTTTTTCTTGTAATCTTGGTGGAAATGATTTGATGGTATTGTTGAGTTTTTTGGTGAAAAGGGGAGTAGGATCTTCTTGTAGTTCTTTGTAGTAGGTGGTGTCAGAGAGCTGTCTGTTGGCTTCCTTTATGTAATCCTCACGGTTTAGGATGACTATGGCTCCTCCTTTATCTGCTGGTTTTATTACTATTTGGTGGTTAGATCTTAGAGATTCTATGGCCTTTTTCTCTGGTAGAGAGAGGTTGTTATGAGTCAGAGGTCAGAGTATGTAGTGTTTCTTTCAATGTCCTTCAGGGATCTGAATATGTCGGACAGAAATTTAGGCCTTTAGAAAGGACAGATTTTTCAGTTTTGGTAAGCGTGTGTGTGGAGAGATTGATAATATTTGTGGGTTGGTTGCTGCTTGCAGTTTCATCGAGTCTGAGGTTGGAAGGTTGTACGGTGTTGGTGTTGTTCCTCTGATGGTTGTTTTGTGGCTGGGGCGCTTGTTCTTGGAGCAATTTGTTCCATTTCTTCTTTTTGTGTAGGATGAATGCTGTAGAAAGTTTTTCGTAGTCTCTTTGTATCCGCTGTATATTGTCAGGGAACATGCATGGATTTCTATCTTTTAAGTTGTCGCAGTGTATGACGATTTCCTTCCTGAGTTGGTCTCTTTTGGAGTAGATTAGGTGAAGTAGATGATTTCTAATTTTCTCTGAAGTTCTTCTGCACAGCTGCAAAGCATATTTGGAGTTGTGTGTAGTAGTCAGGGGATTGTAGATGTTTAGTCCTCGGGGAATGAAGCTGTGTTTCTTGCAAAGGCTTAGAAAATATATGTCGCTGTTGAGTCTGGCTTCTTTCTTTTTCGTGTTGTACAGTTAACAAATTGATACATTTTCCATGTATGCAATCTAATTATTGAGGGAGGTCGTCTTAAATTTGGGGTCATCCTAGATTCGAGAACATACCGTGATCCATAGCTAGTTTGTAGCTATTTGGCCTTGTGCCAGGGGTGTCTTTTTTCACCTTCCCTAATGGTTACCCTACATATGGTAGGATCACGAGGGATCAGGTTCCCTATCAGACTGTTTTGCTAAACTAAACAAGCCAAGCTCCTTTCATCTTGAAAAAAACGTCTCCATTCTTAGTGGCCCTTCTTTGAACTTGGTATGGTTTAAATTCATCCTTTTTTTTTTTTTTTTTTGAACATTGGTGGGTTTTTTTGAACATTGGTGACTTGACCTGCATGTCGTGTGCTATATGGGGTCTTCCCGATGCCTCGCACAATAGTCTTAGTCCTGCCTTGTCACCACCCCGGGCAGATCTAGGATTTTGAAAAGGGGGCTGCACAAGGTGAGGTGCATCGTCACATATAACACAACACATTTTTCTCCAGGTAAGTACAAACTAGAAGCTTTGCTAATATGCTGGGGACCTAGGGCTGTATTATTCGATTTAAGATTGAAGCAAAAATAAATATAACTTGTGGAATGAGTTAAAAACTGTCTACAGGGCTGTGAAATAGGAGCGACATGACCACCTAATATACCCGAAAATCACGTTTGCTTTTTGCACTTGCATTGCATTGGTGGCTCGTGGCCATCCTGTGAAGCCTCGGGTAAATTGCTCAGCCTTTCTGCACATTGTTTCCTTGCCTATAATAGCACCCTGCTTCATAGGGATGTTATATGACTTTTCTCATGTTGGAGATTATGGCACTCGGAGACTGCAGAAATGGGGCCATATAAATCCTGTAGAGAGAGCTATGGGTCCGCTGGAAAAGCCATTTAGTTTGACCTCCCGCAGGGAACTTGGCCAACTTAAAATGAGCTCCCAAAGCAGGAAGTGAACTCCATAAAGTGGGAGCAAGGTCGTACTCACTTAATCCATATGAGCAGGCTATCGATCTCCCTTATTATTTCCCTAATTCGGGACATAGGTTGCCCTCTACTCCAAGTATGCCCCGTGGTGATCAGAGATCACGGTGCGACCTGGTTTAAGAGGTGGTTCAGACCCTGATTCATAACAGGAGCATTAGGGACCATCTTGTGCAGTCTAGCAGCCAGGACCATCGCTTTCGAAAGCCACAGCTTTGCGTTCAGTTCAGCCTGTCTGCGGAGATCCTGGGATGCTCTGTTAGCTGGGACTCGTATCAGAGATCAAACACTCTCCTCGGAGGGCAGGTAGGATCAGACACGCGGCGAAGTAAAAGTGGCACCTCCTTCCTGAAGAGCCGTGCTCCCTGTCTGCACAGCTCTTACCTCCTGATCTTATTAGCACAAGAGTCCTTGAGTCCTTTCAGCTCAGAAGAGCTGGCATAGCTTGGCGGCCAAGCTGGGGTCTGGTTTTCCGCCCTCATCTCAGCAACCAAAAGCAGCCCGATGCCATTAGCAGATCATCATGGGCAAGGGGTCTGGGGTGTAAAAAACCCAGCTGGGTTTCCAGCTTCTGAATGGTGTTTGCGGGACCATCCATTAGCAAAACTCTTGTTTGGGAAACTGGGTCCTGGTTTGACCCACAGGGACCAACTCCGAAGTTTCCACCACGTCACTTTAAGCAGGAGCCAGAGGCCGACTCACAACCTCGGGACCTTTTCCGAAGATCACCGGGTCTCCTCCCAGGTCCCGGGGGACTTCGGTGGCCCGTGGGAAGTTCTTGCCCCTTTGCCCAAGAAAGAGCCTGGTTGCTGTAGTGCTCACTAAGCAAATCTCCTCGCAGACAGACCAGAGGGATGACCTGAGAAGGTGCTTTGGCTCTGGGTGGTTTTAAAGCCACTTTTTTCCCTTACAAATTCTTGTCCTTTTTTTGTTTTATTTACAGCGCTTGGAAGATGGCGGTGCTGGAGGCGAAGGCCACCCCGGTGAGTCGGTCCTACTTCCATTTCACGTGGCTTTTGCTTTTTTATATGTTGTAAATAGACACATCCCACCGCTGCCCACACCCTGCCTCCCGCACACCCTCTGCAGAGGCGCTCCATAGAGATGCACAGTCGCGGGCTGCATGGAAAAGGCATCACACAGCCCCAGAATATGGCTAGAGGTTGTAATCACACCAGGAGTGGGGGGCAACCTCTGTTTCACTCCAGACCCCTCAGTCCTACAGAGATGCTGGGCAATGAGATGACCTTTCAAGGAGAGCCGCAGAGATGATGGGATTCAGAGGCAGTTGATGGCTTGATCTACAGCCCACTGCGGGCAACACGAATCTCCAAGGTGGGCTTGAAAGCAGGCCCTGAATAGCAAATGCACTATAGCTCACCGTTACATTGCACAATAAGAGACAGGCCCTTCCCCAAACAGTTTACAACCTAAATAGCCAAAGTGTGGAGGGAACAACTTGTTCATGGACACGGTCAGAAAGAGAACCCAGGTCTTTCCTGACTGTGCCCTTCCCACTACCCCACACTGCCACTTGAATAGCTGACTAAAGGGGCATGTCAGTCTGAGATGACCCCAAGGGTGTTCATCTCCATGGAGGGGAAGTTGATTATTTGTTAACTAGGAGTACTGGTGGGGGAAGCAATGAAGTCCCAGGGTCTGACTTTGGTGTGGTCTGAAATGTGACTGCTGGGTGTGCATACACATACCTGAGCTAGCTTTAAAATGAAGGAGCCCAGATACTGCTACCAGCGTGGAGCTCAGTGCTGTCTGGCTGCCCGGGTATTTAAGCAGGGGCTCCTGGGTGGGTTTGCACCCTGCTTGGTGCTTTATGATGCTGCAGTTACTCTGGTATTGGTACCCGAGCTAACTGCATGAGCGGCAATCACGGCTTAAGACCTGTCTTCACTGTGCCAGTAGGATGCTCAGTCTCACTGCCCTTGGGGAAACCTCTTGAGCGTGCTGGAAACCTGGGTCGTGAGCACAGTGCCAGGGACGCCCCTCACCACCTCATTTTGGGATTGGCACACATGGTGGGGCTAGCACCTAGTACCTCAGCATCATGATTGGGCTCTCTGCTGCCAGGAGCGTCAAACTTATGGCCAGATCCAGGCCATGGAGCAGTGTTGTGTGGCCTGCAGGGCTTGTAGAGGGTTTGGGGGTTTAAGAGATGGGGTCCACTGCTGAAATCTGGGGCACAGAGCCCTGCCAGCCGTGTGTGCTAACAGCAGAGGGCAAGCGATGGCTTCATTAGCTGCTGTGGTTCCCTGATGTTGCTTTCTCTGCCACTACCACCACAAAGAGACTCAACGGGGGCTGCTGCTTTTCTGGGCACAAGAATTTCCCCTTGAGTTCGGGGGCTGCTGGCACTGGACGCCTGATCTCACTCCTGCGGACTCTTTCACTGAAGACCACCATCTGCAAGGCAGCAGCTATTGCAGCAGCTTTCAAGCTTTTGGGGCCACGCACCCTTTTACCTGCGCATCTCTGCACATTCACCAAAATCTGCCATTGCTCACTGCGCATTGACCGATCAGCTCCACCACCTCATTAAAATGCAGGGAAAACACCACGTAGCCCCAGTTTGAATACCACTGGCTGAGACAGCTGGGGCTTCACCTCCACTGCTCTAGCTATGCTGCCAGACCTTAGGCAGATACAGCTGATACTGCGGGGAGGGAAAAGGCTTTTTTCTGGTACAGTTCAGGCAGATTCAGAGCCAGAAATAAGCTCTATGGCAAAAGCACTTTGTCCACAATTTGAATCTATGCAGTTGAGCTTTTAGCAGCATAGAAAGCCTATGCCCTGGAGCTTTTAGCAGCGTCGCGCCCTGCTCCACCAGCAAAAATGTCTGGTGGGGAGCTGGCCTGAGAAGTAATTCAACAGATCGAAGCCTGGAGCTGGAGGGAGGATGTGACCTGAGAAGGCTGCTGGGGGCCTCAGGAAAGGCTACAGCAGTATTAGGCAAGCCAAGGCTGCATCCCTTCAGCTGGTGGTTTGTGGCGAGTTTTAGGAAGAGAAAAGATGTGTGGGGTGGGGGGGCACGGTTAAGCTTGGTGGCTCCAGCCCTCTGCTTTGTCAAGTGCCAGTGGAAAATCAAACTGCCTGGTACTGCTGGGGGAGAGTAGCACCGTGAAGAGCGCACGGAGAGCGTGCGTGCTCTCGCAACGCTGGCCTGACAGCCGTTCAGAAAGGCACGTTTCTCCGAGGAGCGAAAGCTGCTAATTGGGGATGGAATTAGCAGTGGCTTTTGGAGCTGACCTCTCCAAATGAACCCGCTAAATGGATTTCTCTCGAAGAAGCGGCGGCAGCCTCCTCCTTGTTGTGCCGGAGAATAAATTGGAGAAGGTCCTTTGTGAACGCGGGGGCTGGTGCCTGCGCGTCCTGCCTCCCGCGGGGGCTCTGTAGTGCATGCGGCAGAGTGCGGGGGACCCTCCTGGGCTCTGCTTGCTTTCTCCTATTGTACAACTGCTTTGCAAAAAAATCAAATCACTAGCTAAAGCTAAGGGAGTTCGGGGGAAGAGCAAACACACGCAAATAGGATGCACTTCCTCTGGACTCGGCCGAGGTGTTCAGGGAACGCGCCGCACTGCTGTCAGTAGATTTTGCGAAGCCACGAGGGGCTGGCGAAAGCAAGTCTAAGTGCCGGCTTTGCAAAAGGAAGTCGTGTGATCCTGGCAACTAGCGTAACTGGTTCTTTAACCTGAGAAAAAGGCCATGGGCCATGTCCTGGGGTCCTCTCAGTGCACCTTGCCTGAAGAAAAATTGAGCAAGTATTTGGCACAGAACCGTGGAGCCAGGATTTGATCTCTGCTGCCTGCTGCTCATCTGTGAAGGGGAGCTCTCATAGATTCACAGATTGTAGGGGGCTGGAAGGGACCTCGCAAGCTCATCGGGTCCAGCCCCCCTGCACTAGGCAGGAAATGGGAGCTTTACCGTGGGCATCAAAGGGGCCACGGATGGTCGTGGGGCCCCGATCCTGCAAGGACTTCATAGATTTCATAGATTTCATAGACATTGGAGCTGGAAGGGACCTCGGAAGATCATCGAGTCCAGCCCCCAGCCCAAAGGGGACTTAAGTAGGAATGCTTGAATTTTTCTCTTTCCTCTGCCTTATATTTGCTCTGGGACCTTGGACAGACCCTTTCCCTCCCATAGCTCAGTTTCCCCTTCATAAAATAGGGGTGCCGTCTCTCATGGAAGCTGCGAGCAGTAGTGCCGGTGGGGCTTTCTGAAGATGCCACGTGCATGATATAGCATCTTAGAGGTTAATGGAAGAGGGGAGAAGAGACCCTGGGTCACACCACATCTGAGGATTGCGGAAAGGTTTGTGCTCTGACAACGGGCAGGGGAGGAGGAACTGGATGCTGCAGGGGTCCATGCGCCTGGAGTAGGGGGTAGTTTTGGGAAGAGCAGGAGTCTGAAGTCCACAAGGAAGGCGGACCCCTTGATATCTGCGATGGGAGCAGGGTGGTAGGAGGCAGGAGACCTGAAATGAAGGAGGGAGTTCAGAGCAAGAGGCCAGGAATTAGGAACCACGTGCTTTGTCCTGGTTTTGCCCGTGGCATCACACATCTGTGGCTCAGTTTCCCCTGTTGTGCAGTGGAGGACAAACTCTACCGTGGGAAGGAGAGCGTGCTGCCTAGGGACACTCGTTACTGCCACAGCGCCTCCGGCTCCTGGCTCTGTCCTACGGCCCCAGGGCAGTGCGATCGGGGGTTAGGAGGAGACAACAGCGCGTTTCTTGGGGCTGTGCATTCCTCCTTCCTTATACCTTACTAGTAGGAGCCGGGCATGCCGGCAAGCACATCAGATCACGGCCAGTACTGAGCTGTCAGAGGAGGCCAGGCCCTTCGTCTCCTGTTGTCTCCTGAGGAGGAAGATGCTCCCGACCGCACCCAACGGCAAGGAAGCAGCAGAGAGAGACCCGCTCTCCTGCACATCTCCGCAGCCTCCTTCCCAGCCAGGCGAATCCCGCCTCACCAGGACCTCCACCGGGGCTCTCTGCTTCACAGATGAGGCATAGAGAGGATTAAGTGACTGGACCAAGGCTGCACGGCAAGTCATTGGCAGGAAACTCCCTGCTCCGCACCCACACCCGCACACAAGCCTCAAGCCATCTGCCGTAGCGTTTCTCATCGCCCCAATAAGCTCCACCGCTTCTTCCTGTGCTGCAGCGCCGAGGCAGAGGGGCGCCAGGCCGGGTCTGCAGACACAGCCTGGCCTCTCTGCTGTGCTGTGACAGCAGGCCGAGGCTCCCCAGGAGCTGCAAGGCCCCTCAACAGCTGGAGGGAAGCTACTAAGTGTGCAAGAGATTTCTTGGGACAACGAACAACAGAGCAGGAACCAGAGTGAAGGATACAGGCTAAAAACCAAGGGAAGACACCAAGTAGAGGGCTCCAGCTGGCACCTCCTGCTCCACAGAGGCACCTAGGGAGTCACTGGATGCCACCCAGTGAAACCCACTGAGATGTGCAGATGAGGGCAGGAAGACAGCCCCACACAGGATCTCCTGCAAACACAGCAGTGTGCCCAGCTCCCACTGATGCCACCCAAATACCCAAAAGGATCTGAGCCAACCTGACCACATCCTGGAGGTCTCACCCTTCCTCAAGGAGCTCCCTACTCCCTAGCCCACCTCGCTATGCCCATGCCCAGGCTTGCCCTCGGGAAGGGAGACAGCCTCATGTGCAAAACCCAGCCAGAAGGAAGCCGGAGCATGTCAGAGCCGGGGCGACGGCGATAAGTTGAAGGCAAGAGCGGTGCAAATCTAAAGTGAATAAGAACGAGAGGCAGATAACCTTGGATTTGCCTACCCTCTCCCCTTCTTGCTGTGCATGGAGAGCCAGCCCTGGACCCCGAGCCGCCGGAGCGCTAATTGTCTATCGAGCGAGCGGAGTGGGAGAAGGAGATTACGACACGCAGGCGACTGGGGCAAGGAGTCAGCGCGGGCTGGGAGGTTGATAAGCATTTTGATTGATGCTGCGCAAGGGACTGCGAGGCAGACGGCAAGCAAAGACTGTCCTCGCGTGGCCGCTCCAGCCCTGCCCTTGCAGTCCTCTCCGGCGCTCTCAAGGTCAGGCCTGCACGCACGCTGCCTTGTGAGAGGGAAGCCGGTTCGGGATCTGGATTGGGGCCGGGGAGCCCGCTGAGAGGGGATTCTCTGCCCAGTTGGAGAAGGTGCCCTCGTCTCTAGGAAGGTCGTAAGCTGTCCTTTGCTTTGTGGCTGCTGGAGGGTGCATCTCAGCCGTGCCTCTGTACAAAGCAAAGAAAGAAAGCAGCCGGGGCTGGAGACTCTTTATGCAGCACGGTCAGCAGGCAGCACGGAGATGAAAAGTCCAACCTCCGCTTCTCTCCTGCTGGCCCTTGCCCCTTCCCACTCCGTGTCAGAGCCTGTCTGGCATCCCAGTGCCTCTGGCTCCTGCCCGCTCGTCTTGTGGAGAGGAGGAGGTGGGGGGCAGAAATGCAAGCCGTTTGAATCGTCGTCCCGTCCTCCGGCCTCTCTTTGTCCACCCTGACCTCTTCGAGTTAGCGCCAAGCAAGAGGCCGAGTTTTCAGCTGCCCCGTTAACATGCGAAGCAGCTAATTAGGCCCTGTCCTGCTGGGCTGAGTGAAGTGATTTGGTTTCCCTCCAGCCGGGCAAGATAATGAAGCGTTGGATGCACCTCTCATCTGGGAGGTTGAAAGCCTGATAGGACTGGGGCCCGGCGTCCAGGCTTTTTTAGCTGTGGATATGGAGTCTGTTTGCCTGGCCAGCCTGGAGCAGAGCGCCGAGCTGTGCGGTGCAGGAGTCTTGCGTTCCCCTGAGAGCGCATGTGTAAAACACGCTAGGTACGGCAGCATGCAGATGTGTTGTTCTGGGGGAAACGCATGTCCTTACAGTCCGACAAGCAGGTGGCCGAGCCCCTGACACCCATCATTAAGGTCCTGCCAAGGCTGGGGGGGGAAGGACAGAGCTTTTGCTCATGCCTGTTTTCCCAGGTTCACTTTTGACCCAGTCTCCACCGCAAGGGGGTCTGATTCCCCACCAGCAGCTCCCTGCCAGGAGCAAAATGCTGGCAGTCGAACTGCACTCGGGGGGCTGCCTGCCATAGCGTTCCCAAGCCAGGCTGAATTCGAAGGTCCCGACTCAGAGATGTGCACCAAGGAGGGCAAGGCCCCCAAATGCTTTTAAACCACAGTTTATCCCTCCCTTATTCCAAACCCAGTTCTGCCCCTGCCCGGTCCTCAGCACAAAGTAGAGCAGCCTTGGGGCTGCTGTAAGTTGAGGTGGGTTTCAGCAGGCCCCTGTGAGTTGTTCTGCTGGCCCAGAGTGCCTGGAGCCCAAAAGGCTTTAGCCCTACCCCATTGCCAGCACATCCCAGCAAGCCCTGTGCTGGGGTCCGCATAGGATGTGCATTTGTTCAGCACGCGTAGGATGTTCCTGTATAGCAGGGGTGCTCGAGCCCTAGCCTGTGGGCCAGCTCCAACCCAGGGAGCCATATCCTCCAGCCCACCGGGCTTCCCGCAGATTTGGGAATTTGGTGGCAGGAGAGCAGCGGCAATTAGCACTGTCACTGCTCCCCCGCCACCAAATTTCCATGCACCATATCAGGCCCAGGAATGGGATCTGGCCTGTGGACCAGCCTGCCATTACTCATCTGGCACAGGTGGCATGCACACCCACCCCCCAGCACACAGCATCTGCATCGCTGGACTCCTCAGCTGGGTGCAGTTTCACTCCCACCCCAATTAGCCAGCCTGTGTTAACGGCAGCCGTGAAGCACTTATTTCCTACGTTCTCGTGCACAGCCTGTCCTGGGAATTTGATTCCATTTCTTTACCGAGCTGCTTGTTTCTGGGGTGAGGCCTCTGGAGAGCGTGGGACTGGCTTTTGAGCAACTCCCTGCTCTGCCCCTCCTATTAACATGTCTTTATCTGTCATTTTTAAGTCTGCTCAGGAAGCTTCTTAATGATCCGAGATCTTACACCAATTTGAAATGGGTTTCCTGCCCCTGGAAACATTTCTGTCCTTTATTGCACTAATGCGCAGGTGTCCCTCCAAAAAAGGGCTTCTGGATCTGGTCCTATTTCCATTGAAACCTATGGCACAATTCCCTGTTAGATTTACTGGGGGTAAGATCGGATCCCAAAGCAGCGAATGGATGAAGGCATCACCCAAAAAACAGCAGCCAGAGGGGTCCTTGCTAGGTTACAACTGCAGGTGCAAGGGAACAGCCGCGCTCTCTGTTTCCAAGCTGCGGCAAAGCCGGCACCATAAGGCAGCTAATCCACGTGTTCAATGTGCCGGGTATGAGCGGTGGGAATCGGGACGCCTGGGTTCGATTCTGGCTGGGCTCACTGGGGTGTCTCCGTGCCCCGTCTGCTCGGTGGCTGGGGTCGGGGAAGGAGCGTCAGTCTGAGCTGGACAGATGTTGGGCCCGAAGGAATGAGGAGTGGAGCGAGGGGGCTGGGACAGAGCATAACATTATGGCTGTTTCCCACTGTGCCAGGGCACTCAGCCCCCAGCCTGGTGCACCCATGGAATAAAGCACTGATGGGACCCTTGCCCTGTCTATGGACTGGTCGGGGTGCTAGCCTGTCTCTGATGCTGGCACGGTCCCTTTCTGGGCTGCACTTGCTAGAATTGCTCCCTTGGCTCAGCGAGGTGGCTTAGCTAGAGCTGCAATGGGTTGGAGCGGAGCTGGCAGTCTGCACAGACACCCACTCGTGCCAAGGATGCAAAACCAGGACAGGACTAGAGGTCTGTGCCGATCTCCCATCACAGCTCTAACAGGGGCATGTGGTCAGAAGGGGGTGGCTTTTATCTGCCCAGATGGGTTCAACATCTTCACAGCTCGTCATGTTTTGCACCCTCTGAGACCCAACTGCACCTGCTCCCTGAGTCCTCTAAACTCATTGCACTAATGGAGCTCCTCCGAGCTTCTTCTAGCCTTTTGCTTAACATGCAGGCCACAGAGGCCCGTGACACTGTCTGAGGCCAGGTGTAGGACATGGAGCTCTCTCAACATGGTTATAGTCCCAGCCTTGGCCTTGGCTGCAGTCTCTGTGCGGGCAGATGCTGTGTGCTGGGGGGTGGGTGTGCATGCACGCATGGGCACACGCGCTGCACACACAAGGCCTGGTCTAAGAAAGGACCTTAGAGTCACTGGTTACCCTAAGTTAATGTAACCTGCTGCAATGGCACGTCAGGAAAGGCATCAAGGCTCCCTGGCAGCCCAACCAAGGCAGAGCGCTGGGAGAAGAAGTGACTTTGGTGTCATTCCCAATGTCGGTGCTGTCCTTCCCTCCTAGGTCCATGTCTACGACCCTTATGATGACTATTACCAGACGGTGCCCCTGGATTCCCACCAGGCGATGTACATCAGATCTGGGTACTACGGCCACCAGTACGGCGGTATGTATGCTTCAGCACAGCTTTCTCCCCCTGGCTTTGATCATTAGGGGTCCAGATTTTGTGGGGGGACGGGCTTTGGCTACTGGGCTAGACTTAAGAAGTTGGAGTTTACATGGAGGATGTGGAACAGATCCCAGACACCCTTGCTGTCCGTCTGCTACATGATCCAATTCCCATCTCTAGAAGGCAGTGTTGCCCACCCCGTACATCCTCAATTGAGGGATGATTTTGCTCACTTTTCCCGGAGCCGAGAGGACGCTCAATTCACTCTGGAGTGAAGGGGACTTGATTTTTGCAACAAGGTTGAATTCAGTCCCCGACTAAGCTTACCCAGGAAAAGAGAAAAGATCCCGTTGTTATGTGGTACCCTTGCAGATACCATGATAAAAAGGATTAGGTTATACAGAATCCACATCCCTCTTATTTGGAGAAAAGCGAGAAATCAGCAAGAGCGTTGCTCCCAAGTGCATGTCACTGCTGCAGCCCTCTGGCACTTTCTGGCGGTATTTACCTGCACAAGTCATTTGAAAAGCATAATATTCCCTTTTCACCTGTTCCTGCATTGTAAGGGCTTGGGGCCTTTTATGGAATTGGATGGTTGCTGTGTTGACACGTCCTGGACTGGAATTATGGGAGACGGGCAACCAGATGGCCCCTCGTGGTGTTAATGCCACTTTATTCATGATTTTTTATATGGCCTTTATATGCCTTCTCTGCAGATTAAGGCATCTAATATGTGGCGAGGTGCCAAAATATTAACAGTGAACCTAGAGAGACCGACAGCTGTCAAGCCCAAAACTGGTTCTTCGTGCCATAAGAGGTAGTAAGAGTGCAGGGTTACCCCTCGCTAACCCATCCCCTGGCCTAGAAGGAAGGGAAGAGGCATTTGCTCCACATAATCTGACCAGCTCTTAGCAGGTGCCTGCAGAGGCGCTGCTTTGCAATGCAGACAGATGCCTGGTTGAGGCTGGGCTGAGACCCAGCCAACTCGCTGCATACAGGCCACTGGATGGGCAAGCAGCTGAGTGACCAGGAGCTTAGGAACCGAGGTCGTGAGAGGAGTCTGTGGCTAGCAACCAGAGGCCAGGGATGGGAGGCGGCGTCTCCCTGTCCTGGTCCAGCCTTGCCGGGCGTCTAACGAGCCAAAGCCCCTTGGTGCTCTGTGCTCAGCTCAGCTGGTCGCATCCCCAATGGTGGGGTGACATCTGGCGGCACCGTTTCGGAACTGCAGCTGATGGCAACTCAGTGCCAGGCTGTGGCGATTCGGCCTGTGCATGGCCAAATCCATCCCAACCTGCCCCGGCGCTTGTTGGGGGTCAGCACATGTGCAAACATGGCTCTTGCATCCCTGTGGGATGGAGTAGGAGGCAGGGTCTGCACTGGGACACTGCAGAGGTGGGGGAGAAAATGGGAAAGGGGGCTGATTGAAGGGTCGTCCCAATTTGGGACGTTGGGTCTCCAGCCCCTTTCATCTGACACCCCCCTAACGAGTCCAGATCTCAGCCTTAAACCTTCATGCTCTCAGGGAGCCTGACCCGAGCTGGCTATTTCCAGGTTTGCTTGCATTTTGGGGGAGCGGGGTCCCCAGCGGTGATACAAGAATCTCAGAGAAGTGGGGCTGGAAGGGACCTTAAGGGGCCACATCTAGTGCAACCCCCTGCCTGAGGCAGGGTCAGTCCCGTGCAAGCCACCCCATGTAATCCATCATCTAAACTCTGCATAAGACACCATCAGCCCTGATGCAACACAGACCTAACACCTGAACCTGCCACTGGTAAGGCAGGGGGACCACGGCAGCCAACATCCTGCTTCTATGCAATATTATTAATATACGCTCAAGAGCTCCCAGGTAAAGGCCGTGCCCCCACTACAGAGGAAGGCAAAAACCCCCACAGTCTGTACCAACATGACAATAGGGGAACATTCATTCCTGACCCCAAATGTGGCGTCGGTCTGACCCTGAGCGGAGGGGCAAGACCCTCTAGCCAGGAACCTCCGGGTTTGGTCCCAGCAGGAGCATTGGCACAGCCTGGCCTGCCTGCAGCCAACACCCAGTGCCTCCAAGGAAGGTTTAAAAGCATCCTAACATGCGGCAGACAAGGGGATGGGAGCAACCAGCAAAGCCCTGGGCATGGCCCAATCCCCATAGTAAAACATGGGCATCTCTACGCCTAGTGTCTGTCCAACCTCTTCTTGAGCACCCCCAGCGATGGAGAGCCCGCACCCTCCCTAGACGTCTATTCCACTGCCTCCCTAGTCTTGCAGCGAAGAAGTATTGCCAGGTATCCAACCTGCACTTCCTTTGCTACAACTTCAAGCCCAGAGCTCACCGGCTTTGCCTCGCATGAGGCTGTGCAAGCTCATTGCCGAGAGCTCTGGTTCCCCCTGCACCCGCGGCTCGGGTACACGGCGCCTTTGTGCGATTTCACAGGCGGTTGGGCCCAAGGCCTGGCTCAGCAGAGCTGAATTCTTCTTGGCTAATGGGCCCTATTGAGGCACTTTGGAAGAAGGCCCCAGATTCCCCGTTATTAACCTGCACGCACAAAGCCATTTTCGCAAAAGCCAGGCAGGGCAATGTATCCTGAGGGAGAGACATAAGTGTCTCTTCCCTCCTGTTAGCCTGCTTATAAATGTTCCTACAGCCAGAGCACCGTGGCTTCGGCTCCTAGAGAGCCAAAGCTTCCCCTCGGCCTAGCCTGGAGAGGCCACGATGTAGCTAGAGCCTGGACCTGGGTTATAATCCTGGTTTACCATTCAACCGTGGCCAACCTTGGTAAAGTCACTTTGCGTTTCTGTACCCATCAGACCAGATCACACTAGATCCCTTCTAGTCTTAAAAAAGGTATCACAGAGACAGGCCCCCCGCATAGAACAAATGTGTCCTAACACCACGTGGGGGAGATGGCTGTGTACCTGCCTGCCCAGGTCTGGTCTGTGCAGACACGTCTATATATCGTCATGCTTTAGTTGCATGCTTTCATGTAGCTGCCCGTCCTGCTCCGTGCACGTGGCAAATGGGTAGATTTTGCTGCTACATCGCCATAGTGGTGCACTGTACCCAGGGAGTGTGCCTCTCGGGTGACGTGCCTGCATTGCCCTATGTCTGCATTGCTATGTGTCTGCGTTGCCGTAGCATGCCATACGGTGATGTAGCGCATTGTTACGTCACCGCAGGGTGATGTCAATGCGCCCCGCTCCAGTCATCTACCAGCACAGCAGCGCGGACAAAAGCCCCGGCATGGAACAGTGCGACCAGCCAAGAGCGCTCTCACCGGCATGGATGATTTCCCTTGCTGTCCCGTACAACACCAGTTACACGGCGTAGGGCACACTGGATGCAGTCATTACTGAACCACTCAATGGGTTTGTCCAGAAAAGCATGGTCAGATTGATGCAGACCGGGGGGGTGCCTTCCTCTGTAGCAGGGACCATGCCTTCTTCCTGGGATATCTTAAGTTTATAGTATCAACCTTTTGCACAAGCAGGATGTCGGCAACTGTATTTCCCCAGTTTTACCTGTGGCAGGTTTGGGTGCGATGTCTTGTGTTATGCTAGGGTTGATAGTACGTTTACTAAGAAGATAGATTATGGATGCCTCTAGGATGGTTTGGATAGGGGTGATCCTGCCGGTCCTCTGGGCAGGAACCTCCCTGCTCTAAGGGGTTTGTTGCACTCGCTATATGGCCACAAAGCCGAAGGAGAGACAAAGCCTCACCACCACTGCTTTTTTGGGACCAGCGCGGTGCTGCCTAACAGCCCTGAGTACCGCACACAGCAACAGTCAAGCGCGCAGTGCCCCAGGAGGAGTTCCCAGCCCCCAATACAGGGATCCAGTGCAGATCCTTTCTGGACCCGCTTGCTCCCAGGTTGCCAGCTCCTGGAAGCAGTTGACCAACCAAGCCTCAAAAAAGCCACCATCCAAGAGTAGGTCAAGAAGGTCACTAGTCAGACAGGGGTCTTCATAGGAGCCCCCAGAAAGCCACTGTCTAGCAGAGAAGCCAAGTTGCCCGCTCTGCCCAAGCACCTCTCCCAGGAACTGAGAGCTGGAGGGACCCCGGGCCGTTCAGAGGCAGAGCTCCCCCTGGGATGGGCTGGGGGCTCCCTCCGCTCCCAGGCTGGAGGTGAAGGAGGGATCTTCCCCAGGCCACTGTCCTCCCTGCTCATCCTGCATCTCTGTGTTTATGCCCCTCAGCGCCCGGCGTGACTCACGTGATCGTCCGCGAGGACCCCTACCGCGTGTCGGGAGACCACATGGCTTTGGGGCTGCTGGCCGGGGCTGCCACGGGGGCTGCCCTGGGCTCCTTCATGTGGATGCCGTGCTGGTTCTGAGCGGAGGCTCTCCCACCTTCTGCGCGGGACCGGGGCTCTCTCCAGGAGGCCGGCGGGGCGCTGCCTGTAACGTAGATCCCTGTAAGGCTCCCCTCTCCCCCCGAGTAACTCTGCTGCACTTTGCTTGCCGTTCCCGACTAGGCACGTTGGCAACATAAATTGTTCTTTGCCTCCCAGGCCAGCAATCGTTTCATTCCCCCAGCACACATGACACGGCAGAGTCCAGGTGTCCCCAGCCCAGGCTGACCAAGGCAGGCTCTTCCCATCCATACTCTTCTCCCAGGGAAGTAGCGTGGTCTCTTGTGCTTCCCAGCCCCTGCCTCTCCTCCATTCTTCAGACCTTGGGCTTTCCCCTCCTGCCCCCGAGGGGATTGAAGCAGAGATGGGGTTGCATCTTCAGCAGGTCAGCTCTGTGGGAGGCAGTGGGGCAGCGCCCGAGGGTCCAGCCTTGCTTAGCCCATTGGGGTCCCAGACCTCTGCATTACATGCCGGCACTCACAAAGTAGCAAGCGCTCCCTCTGGATCGGATGCAAGCAACGCCCTGCATCAGTCTGAGTAGGAAGCCACGGCTCCATGCCCAGAGCTTGAGCCTTCGCTTGTGGATGCAACACGGGTCCCGTCTCACCAGGCGGGGGGTGCCGGGTGCCTGGTTGTAGGCACTGTGCCTCTAGCTAGTCTGGTTGACAGAGAGCGGAGAGCAGAAGCCTTTGGCGTGTGTCACGTAACACGCAACGCAGCCAAATCCTTCTGTGCCTCACATTTCCAGGGACGCGTGTGCGACATGTATCGCACGCCCCTTGCATCAAACCTATTTAAAAAAAAAAAAGTGACCTGCAGTAGGACGGAGGCCCCCCTGTCCTTCCTCGGTGCTGAAGCCCAGGGCTTGGCCTGCTGGTTAGCCTTCAGCCCTTACAGCACAGGACTCCCTACAGGACTCCCAAGCCTCATCAGGTGCTCCCTGAGCATCTGGGGATAGCAAATGCTGTCCTGCCTTGTGGTAGACCCCGGAGGGCTGGAAGGGGACTCTTCCCATCCAGGCCCCTTCTCTGCCAGCAGCAAGGTCCTTGCAAGGAGGAAGACTAGGGAAAGGCGCAGGCTCCTGCTGCTCTGCAGCTTCACAGGCCAGTGACCCCTATTCAGGTGCCACCAAGGCTTTGTCCCACTGTGGCCCTTCCTTAGAGGAGCCGCCTGTTACAATCAGGGCCACTACTTGGGTGAGGGCGGCTTGCAGGCATCAGCTTCTTTGATGGAAATGGGGGTTGAAGGACGTTGAGGTGGCAGCAGGGAGCAGGCGGCAGTCAAGGTTGCCCGTGCCTCCTCCACCCGTGCACTTGGGTGGCCTTGCAGTAAGAGGGGACCTCATGTCAGCTCCTTCATGAGGATCGCCCATGGGTATAAGAGGACCCCAGGGCAGAAGAACGCTACCCCGCAGTAGAGCAGGGGCGTGAGAGCGAGTGTGAGACATCACAGATTGGTGTGTGCATGTGTGTATAGAGACAACTGTGAGAGAGAGAGAGAGAGATCACAGACTGTTTAATCAGCACAATATCATCGTTTTTGGACAGTCGGCAGTATAGCTCGCGTGATAGAGGTCTTGGCATCCGGGCCAAAGGCAGCACAAAAGGGGCATGGTGTGCTTGAGGAAGGGTATCTGACCATGTAGAAACACCCACTCCATGCATGGGCAAAGAGGGCACAGCAAAGGCCGTAAGGCCACCTGGACTTGGTCGCTCCTGTGCTTCTCCTGAACAGTTTTCTGCTGCGGCTTTTTGTTGAGGATTTCCCAAGGTTAAAAAGACAAAGTGTTTAAAGAGGGCAAAGCCAGGCCAGACTGACTCGGTGTCCGGCACTCCTTTACTTTCCGTGTGCTCTGACAAAGCTGCATTTTCCGTGGTTCTCGAGGACAGCGCAAGAAGACTGCCCACTCTCCACTCCTCGCCCCCGCTGCTTTCCCTCGGCCTCCCACATTTCCCCAAGCTCTTCTTCCCTCGCCAGCTGCTCCCAGCCCACTCTTCACCCACTCGGTCCCAGTCTCCTCCGCTGCTGCTCCCCATCCTGCGCCCCCTCCATCACAGCTTCTTGCCGCTCATCTTCCCGCTGTCCTTGGCTTCCGCCTGCCTCACCAGCAACACCTTCATTGCACCTCACGCTGGCATCTGCCCAAGCCTCAGGCCCCTCAAAGCCTTTCTCCGCCAGCACATCTGCCCCACTGCACCTTTTCCACCCAGACGTGAGGACGTTCAGGTTCAGTGGCGGCAGGATTTTGTTTCTGTTTTACATGAGGAGCCCATGTCTTTTGCAAACTTCTTATTCCAAGTAGACTCCCAAATGCAGCCCCAGAAGAGCATGAGCATCCCCAAGCGTGACCCAAAACGATTATAATGGAAGGGGTCAGGCTTCCTAATGGGGGGTGGAGGGGGAAGGGGGCTTGCTCTGCTTCTCCTGTTACCTGGCTTCTCCCCTTTTGCTGCCTGAGCAGATGAGCACTTCCACGCTGTAGCGCTCAACTCTGCAGAGCCAAGGGCCTGATGCAGACCCTCGGTGCGTGGGAGGAGCGGAGGAGGAAGAGGGCACAGAGTGAGTAGGGGGGGCTGGCAGGATGCCTTCCCTGTGCCCCCAGCCTGGAGGAGGGGGCACCCAGGGAGGGACCGCAGCTCACCCGCCACCACTTTGCATTTCAAGAGGCAGGTGCGCGCTGCACAATGGCAGAGGTGGGGGCTAGAAGGCCTGACACCACGTACTTTCCTCCATCTCTTACCCCCTCTGCGGGCAGGAAGAGGAGGTGGTTACACCCCTCGGGTTTTCCAGGACCCCGCTGCAATCCAGTAGCAAGCCTTTGCCCCAAGATCCTCTGGTGCATTGTACAGCGCTGCATCGCAACTGCCTTCTGCTTGTGTCTCCGGCACCGCCGGGGCTCTGATGCTGTTTCTCTAGAGCTCCAGACCTTAATCCCAGCCACTAATGATCCCTCCTACAATTGCACCTCACGTGATCTCCCGCTCCATCGGGGCTAATACACCCTGGTTCTGGGCATCGCCCCAAGGGTGCTTATTAACACGGGCCCAGCCCCCCTTGGAGTTATTTCTTTTGTCAGCTCCTACAAGGCTATCAGGGATCATCTGGGCTGGATGTCTGCCACCCCGGTGAAAAGACACCTGGGCTGGATATCCAGTCTGTCACCCCAGTAGCAGCTCCGGGGACTTCAGAGCAGCCCCTCTGGGTTTGCAAGACCTTCTCTCTCTCTGTGGGGGAAAGAGGCATCTCCCAGCAGCAACACACTGTAGCATTCAACTGGTGGTAGATCTTTTCCCAAAAGAGGATGGACGGCACAGTTTACACGGTCCAGCAAGTGATTTCCTTATGTGCAAGTCAGGCAGGTAAGCCTACACCAGCAGACACGGTTAGAGTGAGGAGAAGCAGTCTTAGCCGTTGCAAGCTCATTTTAGGAGAGACAGAGGCACGTACCACGGTGGCGCAGGAACGCCGGCAGCGTTATGGACTTAAGTGGACATCACACCTCCTTGTCTGTGGCTAAGAGCCTAGATCAGGGGCGGGCAATTATTTTGGGTGGAGGGCCGCTTACTGAGTTTTGGCAAGCCATTGAGGGCCACATGACAGGCAGCCAGGGACAGATAAATACTAATTTTCTAAATTTTTTAGGGGCCCCGTGGGCCAGATAGAAAGCCTGGCAAGCCGCATCCGGCCCCCGGGCTGCATTTTGCCCACCCCTGGCCTAGATGATTGAAGGCGTGCCTGCCCACAGGGGGTTGGTAGAGCAAAGGACAAGGTTCATTTCTACTGCGACCTGCGCAGTTTGGGAGGGGAGGAAAAGGAGGACAGACTTTCCCCTTCTCCTCCAGACCAGGGTCCGGGGGGAGCCGACATCGGCACCCCAAGATCTCTGGGCTCCCAGAGGCTGGCTGGCTGGGGCATGGTCAGGGCCAAGGACCCCACCATGGACGTGGCATCAGGGGCTGAGGAGGGAGCAGCCGGTATCTGTGAACATCACGTAAAATGAGCCCCGGTGCAGCAACGCCCTGCCTGCCTCGACCCTGAGCAAGGCCGATGCTCCCGAGCCTCTGGGGGCGTCTCAAGCTCCGTACCCCACCCTCAAGAGGCACAAAGGCCCTAAAACATATAGACCACGGCCTCTTCAAGTCAGTTTGACTCTGGGAGAGCTACAGATTGTGGGGGACACCTACCAGCGACTCGGACCGACTGAAACAGGAGTTTTGCTTGCTCTCTCCCACCTTTCCGTTTGCTGTTGCTAGGAAATTTAGCCAGCCTTTCTGTCCAGCTGTATCTTGACCCACTTCGGTTCAGTTCTCATGGGTACAGTCGCTTTCCTTAATAGGAGATCGTAGCATCCTTAATGCCAAGATACTGGTGTTTTCTTGCCACGTCCTTTTCTCTTTTTTTTTTTCTTTTGTGTGTGTGTGCATGTGTGTCTCCCAGGGCAGAGTTCTGCTGCATTGCCGTCGCTGTAAATTCACTAAATTTGTGTATATTTTGGAGAACAAAGGCTATTTAAAAAAAAAAAAAATCTAATAAAAGGTGACTCTTCGCTATGTGTTGTGGAGCGTGTGGCTTCTTTTTCCTGCGTCGGGTCGGAGTGAGCACGGCACCATTGGGAGTTTCCAGCGAGTAGTGTGAATTCAAGATTAGATTCAAGATAGACTCGTCGTCTAGGCAAGGAGATCTTGGGACGCGCTTCTTCCCCGCCGCAGCGTGATTCTTAGCTGAACACCAGGTTAATGGAGTTGCTTATTGCCTTGAGCCTCTCAGACTCGACCTTCTTGGGCGCTATTTCCACCAACTAGTTACCGATGCAAACAGACGTTGGAAGCTCTGTAGGGAGCAGGGTAATGGCACGGCCTGAGTCCAGCTGCTCAGGATGAGCTGATAAAGGACGCCGTTCTGTGGGGTGGAAGGGGTTGAAGCTACTGGTAGAGCGCTTTGAAGACTCCTCCAAGACTCTGGAGAGGAGGAAACACACAGCTGCCTCCTTAGAGACCCACCGATACCCGCTTGTGGTGAACGGGCCAAATCCCTACCTGTCCTGAGCACAGCATGGTGCTTCAATGAGTGTCCAGCTTCCCTCCCCAGAGACGGCACCATCTGCAATTCATGACTGCAACAGAGCTCCGCTTCGCTGCCCCTAGCTTCCGTCCAGGACCTGCTGTATCCTCAATCCTGTCTAGGCAGCCCTACCCCAATCCTGCCCTTATATTGCAGGTGAAGTGACTGATTCATAGATGTAGGGTGGGAAGGGACCTCAACAGATCGAGTCCGACCCCCTGCCTGGGCATGAAAGAGTGCTGGGTCTAGATGCCCCCAGCCAGATGCCTACCCAGCCTTCTCTTGAAGCCCCCCAAGGTAGGGGAGAGCACCACCTCCCTTGGGAGCCCGTTCCAAATTTTGGCCACCCTAGTGACCAAATGACTAACTCTAGTGGTCAATGACTAACTCTGCTAGCTGTTGCAAGAGCTCCGGTTATCCACATGAACAGAAGAGCCTGCCACCTTGCTCCGCTTGCTCACCCATCAGCTGAAGGGTGAGGGCAAATAAGTCAGAGGCTCTCAACCCAGGGTCATGAACAAGGGGCAAAGGTTGTGATCCCCCTGGACTTTCCCACATTGCTCAATCAGGGTATCAGAGAGTAGGCTTAGAAGGTAAGAAAAACTCAACACACCTTTCAAGTGCGCTCCTCAGCCCTAGGGCAGTGGGTCTCCACCTTTCCAGCCTCAAGGACCCCCTAGAAAATGCCAGATCTCACTTGTTTTTTGACGACAGAAAAATAAAAGTGCAATTCATATTGCAAGGCCTTTATTCTGTGGCTGTAGGAGACAGGACTAGGTGCGATGGCCTCAACCTGCAGCAGAGGAAATTTAGGTGGGAGATGAGGAACTTTCTGACTACGAGGGTGATCAAGGCCTGGACCAGCACTGGACTCTGGAGTCTCCATCCCTGGAAACTTTCAAGAGCAGGTTAGACAGACGCTTGGCTGGGATGGTTTATAGTCAAGGATGATCCTGCCCGGAGCAGGGGGCTGGACTCGATGACCTTGCTCATGAGGTCCCTTCCAGCCCAACTTGCCCATGTTCCTAAGTGCAACTGCACTAGCAAAACCAAGGCATGGACAGAGCAAGCCACTGTGCAGGGTCACCCAAGAAGCCTGTTGGTGGGGAGACCCCAGGAGCACAGACTCGTTGGGCACTAGACAGGACCTACACCTGCCAGTGTCAGTCCAGCGGTTGCCTCCTCTGGGCCCCGTAACAACCATCAGACACATTTGGGCTGGTGGCAGGATCGGAGCTACCGGGTGCAGATGGAAATCCTCCTGGCTGCCCTGGATAAGCCTGACGCCTCATTTCTGAGGAAGTTCAGGGAAGTCACCACCGGGCTTCCTGGCAAGTTTGGCTTCATCAGAGATGCCAGCTTGGAGCCCAGGGGCAGGAAGGAGGATGGATTGCTTCCTTTCCAAACCAAGGAGAGGACAGAGGGTGCAGGAGGGAGAGGAAGAGCCCCCATTTCATAGCCTGGAAGTGCTGGTGGCCACAACAGGCCAGTGGGAGAGCCAGGGGGCCGGGGTCATGAAGGCCTGGTCTGGACAGAGGGCAAACCTACCCACAAGTTAGGAAACCAGGCGGCAAGCCAGGCTGCGCTGCATGAGGGTGGGTTACAGCTCTGTTGCCAGCCATGGATGACACCAGGGCAGCTCCCCAGTCTAGATAAGTCTTGAGATCAATCAGAGCTGGGCACGGGACTAAGCAACGGAGCTTACAATTTAAAGGCTGGGGCAAGAAAGGGCCAGAGGCAGTGACGCGGTACTCGGGGATGCACAATTAATTCCCCACGTGCCCCAAACCAAGTGAAATGAGTTGGACTTTTCAACAGTCCTTGAACACCAGCCGATCTGGGCTATTTTGGAGGAGAGCCGGGCTGGCCTCCAACAGCCCCAGACCCTTCCTGAGAAAGCCTCACCAGCGGTCCTTGGTTATAGGTCAAGAGGCCATTTGACAACATCATCATCACCCGCTTGCAAGGAGTGGGAGAAAAACATAGGAAAGGGAAACAGCGAGGAAAACAGACAGCAAAGCTGCAGGCACTTGTACGGACCCGGGTGGACAGGAGCCATCGAGTTGAGACCAAGATTGCAACCAAACACGAGACTCAGCACCCTTGAGAGAGGCAGAGCAAGGAAAGAGAAGCCAGCTCTGTTAAGGCCAAACTGATTAAAAGCAAAGCTCCCCCGCAATAACCCAGAAAAACCTTAACACCTCCCCTCCGCATCCATGCAGACAGACAGCAACTCGATACCTGCCCACGGCAGCCACAGGCCTCAGCGAGAGATGAGAAGGAAACAGAGCAAGTCCTCACCCGCCAGGAAATAAAGGCATGTTCCCACCAGCCGGTCCTTGTGAAATGACCACTTAAAGCCATTCGCTTCTGCCAGATTTAAAGGGTCACCCCCCCACCCCAAGCCATCCTGGGTAAAAAGGCGCACACAACCTGAATAAGAAAGTGTTGAAGGAGACGATTCCTTGATGGCCAAACCTGTGTTGGCACGGGCTAGAGCTGGCTGATATGTCTTGAATGAAAAGGGGCTTGTTTCAGGTACCCAGGGTGCAGCCGTATTGGTCTGGAGGAAAAAGCAATTGGGACTCGTCGATTCCCAGACTGATTCCTAGATTGCGAGGCCGGAAGGGACCTTGGAAGATCGTAGGGTCCAGCCCCCTGCACCAGGCAGGAAAGACAACTGGGGTGGTGGTAGCTTGCAATTAAAGACTTTTTTTTTTTTTTTTGCAAAAATCTAGTTGGTCTAATAAAGGATATGTCCTCTACCACGAGTCCAAGGGGCTTGTTTGATATTTTCAAATAAAAAATAGGCTTTTACAATGTTCTTGGAGCTGGCTGGCTCCTCCCGGCCGGAGGTGACCTGAGTTGCTGTTTCGAGTGGGTACAGCCTCAGCCCTCCACCCCAAGTCCTTGGGGAGAAGGGTTTTGGGGCCTCCCCTTGTGAGGGATGTGACAGAACGAGCCCCGAGGATGCCTGCCGACCGGGGCAGAAGTTGCCCGTTTGGTGCGGGGCAGCTGGGTTGAATCCCCGACCCCCAATGGTGCTGAGCACAAGAAAGCATCACCCCAGCCAATGCTGATCCCAGCGCAAAGAAGCAAGGCTCCCACGGGGAAACCTGGCCACTGCCTTCCAGCCTCGCTGCTGCATCCGGGCCCAACCCTGTGTGCTCAGGACCAGCCTCGCCTCCCCAAGGGTCTCGGTGGGTGCCCTGGCCTGCCCTCACCCCCACCGCCCTTGGAGGCCAACGGGGCAGTACGCACCCTTTTGCCACGGCCAGTGGCTCGGCACGTGGCTGAGCTGATGCGAGCGAGCTGCCGTACACCAAGCCCGGCAGGGATGGGGGTGGCTGGGACGACAACCCCATGTCACTGCTCTCCCAGGCAGTGTTGTGGCTGCCTGAACCTCCCGTGGCTTCTCTGCTGTGTCCAGGAAGCGACGTGCCACTAGATGGCATCCCACGAACGAGGAACCAGGCCGAACGCTCAGCTCCCAGCAGCCAGGGTTGGAAAAGAGCCAGCACCCCGGTGCACCCCTCTCCGCACCCCCTTCCAGGGGCAGGGTGCCATGCCCCTGGCAGATGATGCAGGGGACATGAAGGACACGGTCACGGATAGTGGGGGCCCACCGGTTCCTGCTGCTTCCACTCCTCTCCAACCCCTGAGGAAGTCCGGGGGTCCACGACGAGGCCAGAGGGGATGGGGAAGAGGGATAGGGTGTCTTCTGCAGTGCTTTCACACCCAACGTGTCCCCGTGCGGTGGGTGTGCAACACGCAGGGGCCAGGCCATGCAGCCAGGGGCTTGTGTGTTGTGACTGGGGATGATGGTGAAACTCGCTGCTGCCTCTTACAAAAGCATGCACGCCGCAGACTCTGCGTGGAGCAGGAGATGCTGCGGGCTTCCCGAGCCCGGCCAAACCCCCCTGACAGCCTGTCTCCCATTCCTCCCACTGCCCATCCTCACGCAGCATGAAGGGGCACTGAGAGGCAGCACGTGTCTCCCCGCTCCCTCTCCCCAAGAGCTGGTAAAGACACGGAGAAGGAATTAGAGGCATGAGTGAGGCTAAGGGACCCTGCTGCAGAGCTGGAGGAGAGAGAGGGGCTGCGGAGAATGGGGCGACCCAGACCACGGCGCCAAAAAGCTCCCGGTGACGCTCTCCTCCCCTGCATCCTCTCCCGGGGAGGCACGAGCAGGATCAGCATCACAAGCTCAGCCATGCGGCCCCCGCTTTGCCCCCAACTCCTCACGCAGAACAACCAAGCATTTGGGCTCCCCGACTTTCCTCGAGAAGCAACGACCCTGCTTCTCCTTGCAGGCGTAGCAGCAATAACAGCCGCGCAAGGGAACCGATCCCTGTGGATCAAGGGCCAAATTCTGTTCCACTGGTGTCACTGGAGCGGCTCCACTGAGGTCAGGGCAGGAGTCCATCATTACAAGGCAGAGCCAGTCCTCCAGGGTGGGAGCCTTTCCTCAGGCTCCTGGCAC